ATAAACCAGCGTGGAGGCCATACTTTGTACTGATTCCAATTTTTTTTGTATTATGATTTTTTTTCGGGGTGCCAAAGAAGAGCCATATTTTTTTTTAGTTTTGCTTATATGCGCACTCAGTATTTTTGACCATTTAATAAATTTTGTTGTAAGTTACATTCGTTTAATAATCACTCGTCAATTTTGGTTCCCTAAAGCGATCTAAAAAAAAGTTATTGCCAATTTTAAAAATATTCCTAGACTTTTCCGATGTGTGTATAATGAAGGTGTTCAAACCTGGAAGATGGTCCTCGATGAAGTGGTAAGGAAGGAAATCATAACAAGTGAAAAAGATATAAATTTCAGCGCTTCGTCGTTCCGATGACATGGTAGTTGTGGTTGAAAAATGAATATGAAGATTGGTAGGTTGAAGACAAAAACTGAAAGATATATAACGGAAAAAGCAATGGAAAGAGAAACAGCAGAAGGGAGCAAAGTTAAACATTTTTCATGTTTGGGCTGATTGCATATTTTTTATTACTACCAGAATATTGTTGTGTAGCTGAAAATAATATGCGTTCTCAAACAGCACTTAATACACCTTTGAAGAGATTGGTAAATGTAAATGATTTTACTTCTCTCTCATTGTATCTCATCCCTGCTTTTTCCTATCTTCATTTTGAATATTTTATGATTTTGTTGATGTGTGTTTTTTTGCATATTTTCACTCAATCCATATAATATGATTTTCGCTCTTTATTGCACACATGTTTGTCTCTTCTAAGTTGATGTTATGTTTAATAAGTCATGATCACTACTTCATTCTGAGCGACTGAAAACTTTCACTTTCACTCATGTCGGTTGATCTTTACACACAATCAAATAATAGAAACTTATGAATGAAACCTAATTATTCATTTCCGGCAATGCTGAAAATATAAAATCATTTTGCGGTTTCGTAAAAACCTCCCGCTGCTGCGGAATGACCTCTGAAAATGATAAACGGTCCCAGTGCTGACCCAATATGTGCTTTCGTTGTTTTTCCTACGTTTCTAATTCCCGCCCGGGAAATTCTACGATGATAAATGGACTAGAAGCAACAATGGAAGGGTCTTAAACTCGATACAGTATGGAATTATTCCTAAACGCGATCAAAACGAGACAGATCATTTATCATGCTGTCTGGTGCAACGTGTAATGGCTCCTTCTTTGTGAGAAGCTTAAGTTAATCCAGAGCTGAAATAGATCGGAAGCAGTTGAAGAATAAGGCATTGTTGAAGTCATTTCTATTGTATGCGGATTGTGGGAGAAGGGATTATTATCACTGATACTTTAATGACTTTCAACTGCTAAATAGAACATATGCATGTTACAATTCAATTCAATTCTTTATTTTCCATACGACAATTTACATTGTATAGGAATCGTCAGAATATACTTATGTCTAATCACTTATAGCAACATACAAACATGTCTAATCAGATAAAACTTATAGCAACATACAAACATTAAAGATATAAGTAAAAGTTAAAGCACCATACAAATATTTTCAGATACAAATATTCTTCAATACTATACAGACATTTCCCAGTTGAATAGTCCCGCAGACGTTTTTGAAAGTATTAAAAAAATTCATATTTCTTATTTCAACTGGTAACTTATTGAAAATTCTGGGAGCCATAGACTGGGGTGATTTAGAAGATACATTGAGTCTATTAAATGGTACGGGTAAATAATTTTTTTGGCGAGTTTCGAAGTGATGTTTGGTTTTAGTTTGGAGTAAGGTATCTCTCTGCTGAAAAGACCATATTGATAGTTCCAAAATCAAAATAGACACCAGTGTTCAAATCTTATATTTTTGAAAAAATTGCTTACAGATAGTTCGACTTGATGTGTTGACAAGAGAACGTAAGACTCGTTTCTGTGGAGCATGGGGATAGACCCCAGAAACAGATACCATACCGCAATCGACTATCGATTTGGGCGTAATGTAAAGAAATAAGTTGATTCATATGCGATTACGATTAAGACGACAATGTGGTGTCAAAAAATCATGAACGTTTATATGCTGTATTCAATAAATCATAACAATGTCAATAATTGGATGATCGGGACATACTTAGCGAGTTTATGGTAGTTACTATGGTTTATATACGTGGATTATTGGGGCCTCAGCAAGATTCCAGCCAACAAAAAGGAGAATTGACTTCCTCTTTTGTTAGGACATCAGCCTCCAAATTTCCTCGAATTCCCTTTGTACCTAGCATCCACATCATAGTTACTTGACTTCTCATCAGGAGGTTTTCATCAGTTCCAATTCAGTTAACACTAACAGGTAAGTGAATCCGAGTTTTTGATTGTTTGTATGTATATCCTTGTATTTCGAGGGGCCCCTTTCAGAATTTTCTGAGCACACATTCCTACAGCATGTAATTTTGCCTGAACGGTGATGAGGGTGTTTCAAAGGAGTTTGTAGAACTTAAATCTTGGTTGAAATGGAAAGGGGATATATATATTTATAGGATATATTAGTTTTTTGGGAAAAAGCGTTTTCGTTTGCGGGTTGCGGTGGAGGGTCGAATATACCAACTCACTTTGGATCTAACCTAACCTAACCTCCTATGAATATATTCCCGAAGTTATCATAATGAAAGACCCTATAGAACGCTGTAGAGAAGAAAGGGGTGGAGAATAGGGAGTGGTAATAAAAAGCTTCAAGGAAAGAATGGAAGAAAGAAGAAATCTATCATGTTTCACAAATCGTGAAACAGTTTTCTAGTGTTTCTCGGCTTATCCCTAGTTATACCAGATACTCACCCAGAAATACTCGACTTTGAAGCCCGGTATCCTTCGATGAGAAGCGCCTATTTGATGCAGGTAATCGAAAAACGCGTCTAAGTTGTCGAGGCCTTTGATACCCTCATCCAACGTGGTCATTACGGTACTGGCGTGTTCCTGCAACTCCAGACTGTTGGCCTGGTCTTCTTTCGTTTTCAGCTCCTTGAATTTCTCGAAGAGACTAAGCAGCTCAGCGTGCTCTTCGAACAATCTGGAAATTATAATAATACAGATGTAAAATACAAGGATCCAAGCGATTGTTTCGATTTGTTCGATTCATGTCCTATTCATTTGGTAGAAATTCGTAATGAACATAGCATATAGTTACTTGAGGAGGGTCTAACAGACCAAAACCGGTCGTAACAAATAATAAAATTTTTCTTTAACCTTTATCCTCTCTTTGCTTGTAGACCAAGGCAGACGCCCGTTAGTAAGGCAAAAATGAAAAAAAAAGGTCAACAGCATAACATTTTTCAGATAGAGTAGAATATTCCTTTCCGGCCAAAGGGCCAGCGCTGCTTTTCTTAAGTAATATTGCTAATGTATATATCTTTTCCACTAAGTGCAATGAAAATTGAGATGTTATCGTCTCTGTTTCAGCTCGGTAACTTTGTTAACTTGTTGACAAAGATACGGCGAATTTCTTTGCGAAAAGTCAGCTGGTGTTTATATAAGTCGCGAGTTTCGCGATGAATTTATCGCGTGACTTGCCTTCTCGTTTATTCAAATCAGTTCCCCGAAAGGAAATCTCAGCGAAGAAACGCTTCATTTGATCGCAGATCATATCTCTTTGTGAATATATTGTTTCAGTCCCTTTTATTTTGGAACGAAATATATGGACCCGTCATTCGAGAGTGGAGTTTTCACATATTTCTTTTTTGTACAATTCAAAGAGAAAATGGAACAAGGCTTTTGGAACAAAATCTTTCAGGTCCTAAGTACCTGGACTGTTGAAAAAATAAGGGAAATGTACAAATTTCGCGGGCTACAATTCAGCTGTTTAGTTTGTTGGTGAGAGACATGAAAGTTAGAAGTGTTTTGCTGAATTTATACCAAAAAAACGTCTCATGAGCATCGTTCAGGATTTTTTGAATGACGTCATCGGCGATCCAGATTTGCCTAAACTGGTGACGAACCATGGGTAAATGGTCACGACGTCAAAACGGATCATTTTTGTGTATGACTGACTCTCCAGCTTCCAAAACATCCCAAAATATAAAATTTAATTTGTATACGCCTCTCCGGCATCCAAATGGACTGATGGAGATTTTTTCTCCAGAGGTATAAAGTTTAAAATCATCCATATAAAACAAATGGGTGACCTTGTGCCTCCAGTTCTAGGGGGTGCCACAGTTATACCCTCGAATATTTCTGAGCGCAACGGATAATGTCAATAGCGAGATGCAGAACAGAAGGGGACTGAGGGAATCGCTCTGGAATACACCTATTCTGAAAGTAACCCACCCTGTTTGGACTCTTGCTTGACTAGATGTTATGGTGAAGCGAGTTCGCCAAAGTGTTATCAGTTGTTCAATGCATCTCACTATTTTGTCGGATACCGCAAGGCATCTGAGCAAATGCAAGATGAGCTCATGCGATATTGTATCAAATGCTTTACGGTAATCGATTATTATTATTATATTCCATCTCGAAGACCAGAAGAATCTAGTGTGCTCAACATACCTTGAAGAACGGACATAGAATAAATGAAAACTGTCTGAAATTGTTAAAATTACTACATGCCACTAGACTTTTGAATGTCTTAGAAAATCTGGAAATATCATGAGTGGCATGCCAATTATGAACAGTGACAAAAATCCAATTTCCATTGTTCACCATCATTGTCTATTGTCCCTGCTTGAGAAAACTTCCCTCATAAAGTTCGTCTCGAACCATAAAATCCGACTCTATCGATGACGATATTGACATTATTCCTCATCAAAAGTAACGCTTGCGATATTGAAAAACTTTCGAATACCCTTAATCAGCAAACCCCGACCCTCGCGTTGAAACCCCGGTATATTTAGAACTCCAACTTGACGTCGACGACATTATGAGATAACTTCAAATTAACTGCCTGAGGAAAATGAATTGCCTCCCCGCACGGTAAAGATAGTAAACGAATCTGCTTAAAAGGTTACTTTCTTACGTCATGACCTTCCTCCGACACGGCAGTGGAATTGGATCGCATTACAATATACGAGGTGTGCGAAGTGAGTATATTACTGAGATTCAATTATTAGTTAGGAATGGTTTCTTAGAGGTGGAACTGTTTCAGAAAACTTACTTTACATAAATACACTTCATATCTACTAAAACACAACTTCTGGGAGAAAAAGTTGGATCTTTTTTTTATTTCCAGAGTTACAAGCCTAGATTCACATTCACTTCTTATTTCACCTTCTTTGACACTAATCAGTTCAATAATCAATATTTTTCCTGTGAAAAACTTGATTTAACAATGGATTCGTTTTCTGGTAATGTCCCTCTATTTCAAGGCCATACACAGGGTTATTCAAATTCGATCCCTACCATTGGGATCTCCTAAACTACAGGAGATATGTCGAAGCCTGAATTGGAGCGAAGTTGCGTTTTTTATGCTTAACAAAATAGTGTTTTGAAACATGGAAAATTCCGAATATATCCGGAAATATCCGGAAAAACTGAAAATCAGAATTTTTTTCGTGTACAGGAAACCAATACACACAAAAAGGTACCTGAACAAAAACCCTAACCACCAGCCACAACAAAAGAGAGGGGCAAATGAAACGTTGGTAGAGGGAGCACGACGTATTTGTGAGCTTGACAGTCTTCCTGAGGAACTCAATCACCTGAAAATGCCTTCGAAGGGAATGGGAATTCGAGCGGGCCATACAACCCAGGAGAGAGAACGTCAAAGTAACCTCAGCTAGGCTGTTCAAGGAAAAGCTGTCCTTCCCTATTATTGTAAATCATGCCCGAAAGAAAATAACGCCGGCCGCCACTGGTAACCATAAACCGAACGTGACGTAGGTAATAGCGCCCGAATGTACGATGGTGGCGAATGTACGCCACTCTAGAAGCAGCGAGAATAATACTACCGATTTCGACTTCGGCGAAATTTTTACGGCGTTCGATTACCATATTTAAACGCTAGCCACGAGGATATCGATACAGTCAAGTGGACGTTACAGTGAGATACGCGAAGTGATTTAGTAATGCGATAGACATTCAAATAGTAGTTGAAGTTTTTGTTGAAGTGTTTCTTGTATTTAAAGTGAAATAAAGTTAAGTGTAGTCAATTATTGGTCAACCCACGGATAAAAACGTAACACTATGTTGAAAATGTTATAGACCGGATTGAGATAATCTTGGAGGAATAGGATGTGAAAGCAATATTTGGGCCAACAAAAACTATCAGACAAAGTCTATGGTCATCTAAGAACCCAAGAGAACCGTTAATACCCGGGGTATACCGGATACCCATCTCTTTAAACACAAGAGAAATTGTCGTTTCGGTGGAATCGACAAATCAACTAAACCCAATCATGCTCTCAACAAAGAATGCTTTCACAATATCTCATACGAAGATATAGTAATACTCGATAAAACTCTGAATTACTGCCACGGATATATATAGAGAGGCAATATAAATCCAAAAACACAGTGATACTTTTAATAGAAAAGAAGGGGCAATGCATATTAATAAAATCCGGCTACCTATCCTTGACAGGTAATCCAATTAGGAGAAACCAAGCGACGTCCACTAACAATAATATAAAATCAGAGTCAGTTCCAGTATTTAAGTCACCGTGTTCGGAACGGAAACAACTCAAAAATTACTGTGACGTCACTACCTTTGAAACAGCAGAGCACATACTTTGTGCCTGTCCCGCCGAAAACCGAAATAGGTTTTTAGAGTTCAGCAGAGCCGTACTGTTAACATCTGACCTGAAAGACCACTCACCATACAAATGTGAAAATATTCTCAGGCAGTCATGCGGCATTGGAAGCTCTTTGCCCCTACTGAGCAACGTCTAAATTGGTAGCAAATTGCAGATGGCAGAGCCGTACTTTTACCATCTGACGTGAAAGATCACTCACCATACAAACTAATCGCCTTGGTTAAGAAGCTGGGTTTTTTGGTCGAGTGTGAATAGGTATGAGCCACAATAAACCCTTGCGGGTTGCGGTGGAGGGTCGAATAGACCCACCCACTTTGGACCTAACCTAACCTAACCATTGAGAATCAACCTCTCTTTTAAACCACGTTCCGAAATGCTTATGACTTTTGTAAAGCAGTAAAAATATATTAATGAATATACGTTATTGTAAAATACGCGTACTAGTAATGATATATAAAAACATGTTGAAATCGATATGGATGTTGTTGAAAATGTATGTCATATATATTAACAAAACGTATTACATATAACATATAAAATGTTAATGACTTCAGCCGAATGATTCCACGTCATTTCCCTCAATCACACTACCTTTTCCCATTTCCACACCACCTTTATGATAGTCATTTCCCGAAGTTTCTATGATAAATGATAGTATCTCCCAGAAATCGTCGCCGAATTTCTCTATCCCGTCTACTTTACCTTTCACGGAATACAAAACGATGTCGTGCACACCTCTGACTCCATTCCGGTGAACAATGCCTCCTAAGCTGAATATAACTCACTCTAATCCGACATTAACGTTGGAGAATGCCCGGATCCCGATCCAAATGGAAATAATGCTTGTTCTCCTTTTTGCAGGTTATCAGAGGAGTGCGCGGGATTTATTGAATACAGATATTTGCGAGCTCGTTTGATAGATAAGGTTTGTTTCAGAAACGAGCCGAGAAACTGTAGATGTTTTCAATTGAAATGGAAATCAATAGTGACATACTTTTTCCAAAAAATCATTGATACTGCAGGAAATTGGCTATAATAATTATCAATAAATCATTTCAGGAACTTTGGCCTTTGTTGTTAACTGTGTTGAATGTTCAATTATAATGTTTTGACAAAAAAAAAATACTGACTCAGTATGTCATTAAGTCTCCCCGATAAAATCTTCAAATCCAGTTTGAGGCTTCGGGAAAGTACCATAACGAACGAATCCCAAAGCTCTCGGCCAGCTTGGTCTCGAGCTGGTTACGACCGGTTTCGGTTTGTTAAACCATTCTCTAGTAAACCCAAACCAGACGTAACAAATAAAAAACTTAATGGAAATCAGACA